ACAGGAAATGTTAGTCAGAAGTCAGAGTCAGTGGTTAGTAGTGAAGAGTTGCAAGGTTGCAGTGGCAGTTCATGGTTGCTCATGAGGAATCTCCATTGTTAGTAGCCATTATCTGCAAGTGAAGAGTGACAGAATAACTTTAATCAACACTCATAAGCAGTGAATTAGAAATTAATATGAAAATCTTTCCTGATGATGTTAGCAGATCTAGCTTTTGAACTATAGGAATTCAATTTGTAAGTGTCTTGTATTACATTGCTACACAATTTTCAGATTTTTTGTTATTGCTAGTGGGGTGGGACTAAGTCCCTTGTAGTGCAGCCACTTCTGGCCTATTGTTCTAGCCCCAGATGATAGGTGAGGGTGATTGAGGAGCAATTGGTTGAATGAAGATAGGCAGGGGAAACCGAAGTATTCGGAGAAAACCTGCCTCAGCACCACTTTGTCCACCATAAATCCCACTTGACCAGACCTGGGATCAAACCAGGGCTGCTGCTGTGGGAAGCCAGCTACTAACCGCTTGAGCTATGGCGTGAAAAGTAAGACAAACATCTGTTTTTAAACATTGTCAAACCATCCCACTGGTCAGTATCACTCCCACTGCAGTACATTAGTGGCAGTAAACAGTAAACTGATGCTCAAATTTATATACCTCTTCTTTTCCTCCTCCTCCTCCTCCTCTCTTTCTTCCATTGTATGATCAGTGTTTTCAAATTGGTATTGCCTGAAAGCTGCCACATTTATTTTTATCATCTTGTGTGTGTGTGTGAAAATTATCTAGGTTAAATTTGTTGTCTCAAAATTGCTATCACAGTAGCATAATAAATCAGTGTTTTATGTCAAATAAAGAGAGAAATTTATGCATATGAGTATCATTTCCTCGTTACTTCATAATATGAAGTGGGAATCTCAATAGCACACAATTATTTACCACCCATTTCTCTTCAATTGGTAGCACTCTTGCATCATATTTGGGGGCGAGGAGTTGTGGTTTCAGATGTTAGGCTGGAAACTGGCTATGCTGACTAAAGTTTTTTCTGGTTTTCCCCAGTTACTCCACATTTGTTTATATGCAATATTCATTAATCATCCTGCCATTTTATGCTATGCAGCCCAAGACACTGAGAGCATTTTTGAGAGGAAAAGAAATAAGAGAAAATATTTAAATTTACTACCAATGTCAGATGTAGAAAGCAAGTGCGTTAAAATTAAAATTATTTAAAAGTTTTATAGGTGAATATTTATCTGATGACTGTTCAACTTTAGAAGAAGGTGTTTTATTCTCATTGCATTTTAATTTGTCCCCCCAAAATACTGCATAAGAAAAACATATTAGAAAATTTCTAATGATTGAAAGAGCATGGAATTCATTGGCTGCTTATTATTTGATTTATGAACTGGAAATATAAGTAACAAAGAGGACTTAAAACCTCTGTTAAATATTGACAAAGACATTCATCTTGGAACAAATGTAGGAATTATAAACTGGAAGTGTTTAACAGAAAAGAAACTCACAATTTCTATTAAATATTGATAAAGACATTCATTTGTAAATAAATTTAGGAAAACCTGTATTCCTCTTTGTGTTTTTTCTGTTAACCCAAATAAGGAGAACTTTCTAATTCTTTGAAAATGTAGCATATTTCAAATATTTGTTAATCACTGTGATGGATGTAAATTATGTTCATTATATAGGGAGGTTGTTATCTTTGTTGACCAGTTCATAGTTAAAGGTGCACTGCTGGCTGCGAGGTGCATATGAATTTCGCCAATGAATGAGTATGCATCATAGCCTATTATGTTTGGGATTAAGGGAAGTTATTAACTTCATAGACAGATTGACAGCATTATGTTTCACATTGAGCAGTGTGGTTCATGCATGGGGATTTGTTTTATGAGTTATTATCAGTGGGCAATAGTTATCAGTTCCATTAGCCATTTGTCCTCATTTACAATTAGTGAGCAATATGTTCTGTCATGGTGGTGTATACTTTAAGGCAACATGTGTTTCTATATGATGCCAACGTGAAATGCAGATCTGCTAGAAAGTTTTGAGGTAAATTTTGTGATGAAACAGTTCCCAGCAGTCTACAGTTCACAATTTTGTGAATAAACTTGGAACAACATACATACATACATACATATTGTGACATGTTGCGCAAAAGAGAACCCCCCCCACCAGCAGTGACGCGGCGGGTGAGTCAGCGTTCCCCTCCCCCTCCTCTGCACGGTAACGTAACGGTGACGCAACAGGATTGCGAGAGACGACGGTAGTAACAGCGGTTACTACCGCTAGCGTTGCTA